AAAGACTCGTGTAGCTTTAGTCTGCCCTGATACAACGCCTGCATTGCCACAGTCTAGTACTGAAACGGCACAGGCAATACCACAAGGACAGAATTCTACACCTGCATCAACTGTAGGCCAGTGTGTGAAACACATCAAGCCTAAAAGGAAACGTTCAAGACGTCATAAGACCTCGAAGGCGTCATCAAGGAAAGGGGATGAATGCCAGGCGTGCAGCATCACAGTTTCTAAAACTGATTCAGCGTTTGAATGTAATTTTTGCAAACGATGGGTGCACTGCCGTTGTGACAAAGAAGTACCGAAAGCATACTATGAGTTTATGAGAAATAACCCATGCCCATGGTTTTGGTACGTGTGTCCACTTTGTCGCCCTGGCATAGTCCCACAAAGCGTGTCTGCGGATAGCAGAAATAACATGCTCTTGTGCCCCAACACAGTATCATGCAGCTCCCCCCTGCTAAACTCGCACTGCCGAAACTGGTCAAAGACTTAAAGAAGGACACACCAGCCCTACTGACTGGAAATGCCAATTCTCACAAGGTGAAGATTAGCAAGGTTCCATCCACATCAAGGGAGGGCAAAATTACAAAGGCACCACTTGCATCCACTAGCAAGCCTGGCAACACAAAAAAGGCTGTCCAGGTACCGACGAAGCCTAATGTTGCTAATGATGCAAAGGACTGCAAGAAGCCGAAGGCAAAACCTAAGTCTGAGGGTAGTCGGTCTAACTCTCTCATCCTCTTTAACGTACCTGTGAGCACGGATAGCTTGCTCGAACAACGGGCCCTGTTTGATCAGGAACAGTGGTCCAACCTGTGCGGCAAACTAGGTCTGAACATTAGTTCAGCAAAACTGTGCAGACTGTACAGGGGTGTCCACACGCCTCAGGGTAAGCCACCCCCATTACGGGTTACACTGGACTCTGCCGAAGAGGCCGAAAAAGTACTGTTAATGGCTCAGGTACTAGCCCTGGACAGAAGTTCTAACATAAGAGCGCGGCAAGATAGACCATGGGCCGTCAGAAATATGGCGAGGGAGTCACCGGAACTGATGCCTTCCACCTCTATGGTGGTACACGGTGTTCCGGAGCTGGAAACCGGCACTGCTTGTGAAAAACACATGCACGACGTACAACAATGGAGATGGCTGTCATCTCAGATGGCCCCTGGCGCTTCTGGAGCCATCTCCATTTTCCGACTACCTCGTCCCGCTCATCTAACATTGATTAACTCTCCAAAGCTGCTGTGTGTCACATTCAACTCCCCGGAGCAGTTGTCCATATCACTTCAACGGTGGTATGAGACCAAGGGAAAAATTGGAGGACACATCCGATGCTGTGAAAGCAGACCCAGAAATATAAGGAGGCAGCAAACTGAGGCTTTAATACGACCCCAAGCTTCGGTGACACTAGAGCGATGCAGCTCTGAGAATAATAGTCTGTGTCTCCCAAGTGTCCTGCCTAAATCCATTGAAAAAAACTACAACGGGCCGGTTCTATCGGAATCGGCCAACTAGTTCCAACATCAAGTCCCCCACCAGCAGACGGTTTCACGTCAACTACCCCACAACACTCTGAGGTTGTTAGACTCACTGTCAGTTGCCTATATAGCAATGTGAGGGGGCTGAGAGGGAAAGTAGGTGAACTCCGAAATCTCCAAGCACACCTTCAACTGAAAATAATCATTCTTACTGAAACGTGGCTAAACCCCACTATCGCCGACAATGAAATCAGTATAGGTGATATGGTACTGGTCAGGAGAGACAGGGATAATAAGGAAGGAGGGGGAGTTGCTATATACTTTGATAGGCAACTTAAATGTGTGCGCGCAACGGACCCACCACTTATCGAACTCCCAGACTCCATATGGTGTCATTTCACCGTAGGCCACACCAAGCACTTACTGGGTGGCATCTACCGATCTCCCACCTGTGGGGCAGAGCACAATCAGCTACTGCTCAGCACTATCACAGGAATACGAGATTTGGGCTACGACCAAATCACCATAGCTGGAGATTTCAATGCTCCATCACTGAACCTTGGCTCCGGGTGTGCTAAGGGAAAATTTGGCCGAAACCTACTGCAAACTATTCGAAACACGGGACTGACTGAGAATGTTGGAGACGACACTAGGTGGGGCCCTAGTGGAAAGTCATCAAAACTAGATTATATTCTAACTAGTGACCAGCTACTCGTCGAAAAGGTCCAGATCATGACTCCTCTGGGAAGCAGTGACCATGCAGTCATAGGTTTCGATCTTGTCCTCCGTGAGCGTTTGCAATGGGATGTTACGCGACCATGTCTGTGCTACAGCAAGGCTGACTATGCTGAAATGCGGAGGCTCTTGTCCGACGCAGACTGGCCCTTAGCATGGGACGACCTATCTGTGGATGAACACTGGGAAGTGGTAAAAAAGATTATCCATGCAGCAATCTCGGATACCGTCCCTTTAGTCACAACACAGCCTAAGAGAAAGACGTCATGGTTGAAGAGAGGCACGCAACGTATTCTGCAAGCAAAGCGGAGGGCTTGGTTTACGTGGCGTGTATCTAAGAGTCAGACCGACCATGATGCATACCTCGAACTCAGGAACCGGTGTAATGCAAGAGTTAGGAGGGACAGAAGGTCATTCCAGGCTAACCTTGCTAAAAAACTCCTATCAAACCCTAAAAACTTGTACCGATTCATGTCGGAAAGAAAACCGACAAACCAAGGGGCATGCGCCTTAGTAGGCCCAAACGGTCAATATCTCACTAGTCTGGAGATGGCTGAAACATTCAGTTCAGCCTTCGCTAAACAGCTAAACAGCAATGTGGATATTACAGTTACGGACCAAAATGGTGGCACCACTATTTCAGAGGAGGAAGACCTAGCGACTACTCCCCAAATAAACCCCGCAATAGTACTAAGGAAGCTACAGCGACTCATACCTGGGAAGTCCCCAGGTTGTGATGACATCAGGCCATCTGTTCTGAAACAGTGCGCCGAGGCTCTCTGTAGACCCCTGTGCGACTTGTTCCAACACTCAATGGATTCGGGGACCCTGCCAAGGGAGTGGAAAAGAGCCATCCTTTCTCCAATCTTCAAGGGTGGGGACAGGCAAAACGCTGCTAGCTATAGACCAGTAGCTCTACTCCCAGTGGTATCAAAAGTACTGGAAAGTATTATTGACGACCACATCAGGGAATATTTCGATAGGACTAATATACTGCATGAAGCCCAACATGGTTTCAGAAAAGGCAGATCCTGCGTCACTAACCTACTGTCAGCTTGGGACGACTGGACATCATGCTGGGACTTGAACGTACCAGTCCATGTGGTCTTCCTAGACTTTGAGAAGGCATTTGACACTGTTCACCATGACCTTCTCCTACATAAAATAAGACAGGCAGGCATAGGTGAGCCACTTCTGTCATGGTTGAAGGACTACCTAGCCGACAGGCAATTTTGCACTAAGGTTAACCGAGTCCGATCATCTTGGCACAGATCGTCATCAGGAGTGTCGCAGGGTTCTATCCTAGGACCACTGATGTTTTTGATTTTCATCAATGATCTACCACGCCGTCTGAGCTGCCCGACTCTCCTGTACGCTGACGACGTAAAAATATGGAGGGCGATAAAGTGTCCGGAGGACTCAGATAGGCTACAGGAAGACCTAAACCTTCTGGAAGACTGGGCGGTGGCCAGTGGCATGACTTTCAACTTGAAAAAGTGCAAAGTAGTGAAGTTGCGCACCTGTAGACTGCAGAATGCAAGTTACACCCTGTGCAATGAAAGCTTGTCCTGCACAACGTCGGAACGCGACTTAGGTCTAGTTCTAACGGAAAAAATGGACACAAGCGTAAATTACACAGGGGATGTAGCGAGGGCATATGCGGTCATACACTTTACGCATAGACAGTTAGGTGCACTCACTCCTGAGCTCTTTCTAATGTTGTACAAAACATACGTCAGGCCACACCTTGAGGTGCATAATATTATTGCACCCCCAATGCTGAGAAGAGATGCCAACCTCTTGGAAAGAGTCCAACGACGGGCAACAAAAGGAGTGGTTGGTCTCCGAAACAAACCATATGATGAAAGGCTGAAGAAATTAGGCCTGTTCACACTTAGTTACCGTCGGCTTAGGGGGGATTTGATTACTGCCTACAAAATAACAAATGACCAGAATCACCCAAACAAAGGTGTTCTGCCATTGAGTAGGTATAGGCTTCCACGTGGAAATCCCAGAAGGATAGCTCACCAGAGGGCAAGGACCCGGGTGCGCTCCCACTTCTTTTCACTGCGGGTTTGTCGTCCCTGGAATTCCTTACCGGCAGATGTAGCTATGGCACCGTCTTTGGACGCCTTTAAGCGAAGGCTGGACAACCATGCAGCGATACAAGGACTGCATCCAAATGGCCTATCTCCTTAAAATCGCATTTACCAATCAGGGTAGATAATTAAACTCGTCATTTTACTTCTTTACATTCTCTCCCGTCTTACTCTCCTGACAACTTATTAATATTATAATTACTATTATTATTATTATTACTATTACCGATATATATATTATTCTTCAAACTTCATGAGCTGACTGTTGTTACGTTTCCTATTTTCGTTTCTGTCTCTTAGTCTGAATAGCTTCACTAATTATATCTATTATTATTATTATTACTATTATTATTATTATTATTATTTATTACTATCTCTTTTCTCTTGTCGACAATACCGAAGGACTAACTGGCGAAAGGATCAACTCCAATCACAGTAGTAACAGTCTTAACATACCTCATACTACAAACCACATATAATTAATCCCAGCACTACTCCCTTTGGAGTCAACCAAAGCTACGACAGTCGAGTGGCGGGACAAGCTACGCAGAAGTTTACCGAAGATCAAGAACCTATACCTCACAATCAAGAAGCGAGCACAAAGAAATCAAATTGGTTTATACTAGCTCGTAAAAACGATATTGGATATTGGATTTCGAATTTGTGGTAAGGTGGGAAATAAAAAACTGAAGCCAGTTAATCAGCACTCGTTTAAAAGTTACTCAGAAAATCTGAGTGGACTCATTCGGTGAAAGAATAAACAATAAAAAAAATCCACGGGCATGAAGCTTCCTGAACTAAAAACCTATATCTGTAACCCGTCTGACCTGGCGCAAAATATGATATTGTCAAGGTTATGTGATGTCTGAACCTGAAACTGTTTTTATCAATGTTTCAGAAAGCCCAAATAATTTGGAAACATTTTTCTCAAACCGTATGTATAAATTCAGTGTTTATTTCTTTTTAAAAAGTGGTTAGAATAGATGAGTCTAAGTTTTCCCTGAAAATTGACTGCAAATACTACACTGCTGATGTCATTGTACGGTCAGCATTGAAGACTGATGTTCTTAACAATCCTTCAAAACTGTCAAATGTTCATGGCATGATCATCTTTTTCGATGGTGACAAGGTGAGGGCTTCGGTTTTATAAATATCATTTTGTATGTTCGGAAATACTGGTTTCATAATATGTACTGTAGCTCACTAGACAGTGACTTCATTATGGTATAAGGAAATGAATAGGGGCCTGGGCTTAATATGCTTACGACTGTCTATCCGCTTTTGTGACTGGATATCAGCTAGGTATTAGATGTTTGTGTTAACTGGGACATCTAGTCTTCGCACATAATACGTTCTTGAAATTCCAAGGCAATTTATCAGTAGTCCAGTGTGTGTTGTATCATAAGAGGTTTCAACCATTAAGTCCTAACACCGGGTAAAGCAGTTGCCTAATGTCTTGGTTACCTGATTTTTAGTGTTTCGTTATCTGAATCTGTGCTTTCGTCTTCGTACCCTTATAATGCATTTTAAATAAGGTTAAAAATGAACGCCAGGTGACAGCATCGTAAGTCATTCAAGCTTACCAAATTTCGCTCACGCTCGCTGTTGAAGTCAGAGAGAATGATCACATAGTCACACTTTCTTTAAGCTGTGAGCAGCTGTAACAAATTTCTTAACATTTTCGCAAAGATTGTTCTGGGTGTCTGTTTTTAACCGTTTGTTTATTCTGATCACTTGAAAGCATTCCCTCACACAGGTAGACACAAAAGTCAGATATAACCGAGACAATTGCGACAACAGATTTTATTATCCACAATACAAATTAAGTTATATCCTTTACAAATCAACGGAAATCTAAGCCATGAATAATCAACATTTAATCATGATAACAGTGACATTTTTTCCGTTTTATCATTACCTTCTACCTGTATTCTTGTTCCACATGCACTGACCTATATTAAATAAATTAACTGTTGTAGGTGTATATATACAAAGACCTAAGGTAAAGCAGGGTTTAAAATCCAGAAAAGTTAGGTGGTGTAGAATTTTCAGTAAAACTGTATCGTTTATTTTACAATGCACAAACTAATAAATCGGTCTAAAAGCCTGATTAGCAGTTAGATCACTTAATTTAACTAGAAAATCTTCGAACTAGAATTCACTAATTTACATGTCATTAGAATCCTAACTTTACAACATTCGTATCTGTAAGTGTAAAAGTATTTTTTTTATTATAAATTGTTAGGTTTACCTTCTTTACATACTGAATTTAGTCTCCATCTAGTGTCGAATGAGCCTTTGGACGCAAAGTTGAACGTATGAAAAGTGTGAGTAGCATTACGGTGGATTGGCTTTGGATGCTGCACTTCGGAAGTATTGAAGCCACTTCAAATAAATGACAACAAATGAAAACTGTAGTGGTCATTTTATCTTTGTCCAAGTTTTATACCACAAATGGTAACTTATGTAAGGGATAATGCTCACCCTTGACTGCTTAGAACTTTAAAGATAATAGGTGGCTTAAACTCGTAGTACACTATTCGGAAACCACTTTTCGAGATCAACTCTGCACATTTTGTAGTTTATAAAGCCCGGAGGTACATTTCAATGGATGTAGCACTTGATTTCCAACAAAGTTGTCCCTGAATTAATGCCGCATTCCATCAAATTTGGTTTGAATAAACTAAGCAGTATCGTGAACCTTCTCGCACTACATCTAGTTCATAGAAAGGCTGTCAATGGTGACTGGGTTACATTATTATCATTCCGTGGTATCAGGTGCCTGTGATGCGTTCAAAGGGGATATTGGCGTACTAAGTGTTGATTTACCTACGTTGATTTTCCTTTCAAGGTGTCCAGCTGGAATGATGCTCTTGCCTTTATGCGTTTAGCTGTTGAACACGACGTATCCATACGTCTGTTAGTATGCCATACCATTACTCCATCTGCCTTACTTCGTTCAGAGCCAGATGCAGCATCAGCTGTCATACATACAGTTCTGGACCATGTATTCGAGCTAGTTGAAATTTCACCTGCTGAAGATACTATTGAAGAAGGTAAGAAGTTTTCTTGCAGTTGTTATCCAGTAATATTCAGAAGTTTTATGCTGATTTCATTAATTGACCTAAATTTGCGTAGTCTAGGTGTGGGAGTACCAATCCAAAATTTTTATTATATTGTTTAAACACAAACTTGCTACAATATGGGCATCAAGAGACGTGGCACACAACAAATGTTGGAAAATAATATTTGGAAAAGAGGCAGGGCAATTGAGGATCAAGAGTATAAGGAAAAACAGTGGTATACTAATCAATAGGATCACTTCACGTTATTGTGAGAAATAACGGGAAGGAGAGAACTGCAGCATGTTTGCCGTTGGTTACGGTTCTCAGTCATATATAATAGCGTCTCCAACTCCCTGATTTGGACTATTTCTCGGACCTCACCCAGGAAGTTGTGATGCAACTTTAAAGCTAACCTAACACAGCTATCCTCTTCCTCATGACACCAGGTCGTTTCCCCAGTCAGTCTCAAAGACATATATATATATATATATCGTGGAATAACAATCAGCAAAAACCGTGCTCTCATGCACACTCACAAATTGCTTCTTTAATCGTATGCTGAGTGATTTGAATGCTTTTCATTGTGTTTCCATTTTTATATTAACCTCTTTTACCATCTGTACGTTTTTAATATCTTTAATTTGTCAGGCTCTCTCTATTGTTTGGTGTATAAGTCTATGTGTACAGTTTTAAGTTGTCTTGAGAAAGTTGGCCTCCAGTGCGTTATCCTGCACGGCTATTCTGAAACTGTGTCGCTTTCGTACTTGTCACTTACAACGTTCGCACTTTGGTGCATATCAGACAACATGGAGTTCTGACCAGAACCCTAAAATCTCTCGCTACTGATGTGTTGCGTCATAGAAACCGGTACACAAATCCCAGGGAAGTGTTTTGAATGTCTTCTCCATTTGATAGATTAAACTGCACGTTCCACATGTAGTTATCCGGGGGCTGGTATAAAGATCTGACTTGGCTTGTTTTGGTGTTACATTAAGCGCCTTACTACTTGATTGAATTCCTGTTTACAGTTGTTCATGCCCTGTGAGGCTGAAAGGTGATACTACAATGAGAAACCACTGACTAAGGAAGTGTTGCCTTTTCTTCATATATGCTTATACACCAATGGATTACAGCTTGGATGCAATTAAGAATGAGTGAATCTCTCAAATTTGTGCATCCAACAAATATTGTGGTGTTAGTTGAGAACTTGAATGCTCTTGTCTGGCGCTCATAGAAATCGGGACTAGATGGTTGCGCAGATCAAAACCTATATTTTGCTTGCACCAACTTCTGACACGGCCATCTCTTTGGTACTAACTGCCGTCCTTCCTCCGTCATTAAGGCGTAAACTCAAATGGACTATGTTGCTATCAGCTACCTATGGCGTAAATGTACAACGAACTGCCGCTCCTCCTGAAGCGCCTGTATAGATTTCAATCACACTTTAGTGTGTTCGATATTCCCCTCGAGACTTTGTGGTGATCAGGAATGTCATCCTCCGCAGGTTAGCGCAAATAGGCTGGTAGCACCTGCTGCTTCTGTCAATCATCAGGCCGAACTAGGCTCAAGCCTAGCTATTAGCCCCCTCAGATAGCATGAACGAACACTAGTTGCACTTATACGACTCTACAAAGTGACAGATAAAGCCGGTTGCAGTTTACGTTTGTGTGAGAGGGAGAGCGGAAATAATCTGCTGTTTCTGTTATTAGTCTTAAGGTGTTCACCTCTTCCAGGGCAAGAAGCATAATGTTAGCCAAATGAAACTTTATTTTTCCTGATACATAACTAGGTGAGTTTTTCCTGTTATTCGGTGTGTATGTTTAGATATTTCCTTCTTTGTTTCTAACCCTGTTATGTTTCATCTTTGTTTACGCTTGTGTCAGTAACTATTATCAATGTAGACATATTACTCAGTGTAATAAAAGCTGTTGGCAGTATCCTAAATTTGACAGGTACATATTTTAAAGGAGTTTGCTGTTAATACAACTGCTTATTTTATAATGCATGTATTTCATTGCTCAAAGATAAAAGGCTACAAATGATATTTTTCAGATGAAGAATATGGCGTAAAACGAATAAAATCTGTATTTGAGGCATATATGTGGCCAAACATGAAACTCAAAGGTAAAAATACTATTATCAATATATTTTTTTTCAAAATTTCCTTTTCGTTTGGTGATCACAAAATACTTATGAAACCTTTATTTAACTATCTTATGATTTCTTAAAGTATTTATGAATTTACTTCTGTGTCCTGTTTTCTACGACTGGAAAATTTAACGCTTTACTGAAGAGTTTTCACTAGTCTCTGTTGGTCATCCTGATTCCCATAATAATGCATAGATGCCCTGCTCTGTATTTACACTTTTCACATATGAAAAAGCGTGTGGTTTTAGACTGTCTAAACTCCATTAAATATTAAAGTGACAGCTGCTTCAGTTGGCAATGAACAGTGTACCGTATATGGAGAATTTTTTGGTGGAACATCATTGTTAGTGATGTCTGATTTCTCACATCAATTAGTTGTATTCATCGTGTGGATTTATTATTATTATAATTACTACTGATCAAGGAATGCTTATGTACCTCCACACACATTGATTCTATCAATTGAATTAATAATGAATTTACTATACTTTCCTCTTCTACAGTTTTCTTGACTACTACTGGTGGTTGGCATTGTTTCTTTATATCTTTCCATTCATTCATAACACTGACTGTAGATATTGCAAAGTAATGTTCACAGTTTAACAACTGTGAAACGACTGTTAAGCTACAAATGAGAACACATTTACATTGAAATGTGCTTTTCATGAGTTCTACTGTTATATTTGATCTTTAAGGTTGAACCCAAAACTGCTAACATTTCGCTTGTGTGTGTGTGTGTGTGTTACACTTATCAGTGCTGGGATAAGTCGAATCTGTTTTTCATTTTTAAAAGAAAATAGCATGAATTTGCTTCTCAAGCATACATATTGTAAAGTACCCTGAATGAAGGAATTCTGGCGTTTGCAGTCGTCAACCAATTGCATCTGTGTCTGAATTCAGGCTTCCTTACTATTGTTATTTTTTTTCCAACTAGCTGTGCTTCTATGCAATTTCTTTTCTGCTTAATTTTGAGACTTGCATTTGGTTTTACAAATTACTATGTGTACTGAGTAGAAAAAGTATTTTCAACATACTTTTTATGAGGTGGAGTAATCCAACATTCCTGATATATTATTTAATTGTATTTTTTTCGACATTTCACGAATTATAAGATGTCAGAGTTATTTATAAGGTTGCTGTTATCTCCATTAAGACTATGATTTTATCTAATATATCAAAGGCATAGTTTGCAGTCTGTCTCTGTCTGTTTTCGACATAGAACTTTGCACAAATGTGCGGAAGTTCAAGTCGCCACACTCCGTGTAGCACGCGAAGCAAGAGAAAAAAGTACAAGAAAAGCATAATAGAAACAGTGAGCAGAGGTGTGAGACAAAGGAGTAATAAAGAAAAACAAAACAGTTTCATTGGAGATCATAAGTCACAAGGAGTGGATGCATCTGCACCACTGAGAACGATTTTGAGCCATGTCACCAATTGTTTCCAACCATAGATTTTTACCGTCCCCAGCCTGGAAGTCTGCACCTTCCTACGTGGCTTAGACACCAACTGTTGTGGACTTCATTGACAGGTGCCAAGTTTTTGTTTGACCGCCGCTAGCTTTTTTCCAGCCTGACCCTATATCCGCTAACATTGGTCGTCGAGGGAGGCGATGGCTTGGCATACGTAACACATGTCCTAACCACCTCAGTCTTTGTAACTTCACGACTTCGTCGATTGATTTCCCTGTTTACCTAGAACTCTACGCCTAACCTCAATGTTGTTCACCTTATTATGCCACTTTGCACGGGAAATAGAGCGCAGGCACCTATGATCAAAGACAGCTAGTCTTTTCATGTCTTCCACTCTCAGTGGCCAGGTCTCACAACCATAAAGGAGGACGGAGCGGACTGATGAGCAGTACACCCGCCCTTTGGTCGATAGTCGAACATCCCGTCTACGCCAGAGTCGGCGTAAACTGGCAAATGCGAAACGAGCCCCCTGCATTCGTGCTGAGATTTCGTATAGTTTGCAGTAAATCCATTATTATGATTATTATTGCTATTATCTTCCCTGATGTTTATTTGTTTTGTTTAGAGGGAATAAGTGACAGAAGTAAGTCAAGCCAAGTGAAACAAAAAGATGAATATTCTGATACACATAACCAGTCTAAATCAGAAAATCATCTGTCTACCGGTGTAAATAACATAAATTTAAACAATGACCCTGAGGCTTCTGACTCGTCAACATGTGATGAAGATAATTTCGAAGATCTTTTCAAACAATTACCAGTATTACGTGAAGAATTAGCTTCTCTCAATTCTTCAGATAGATATAAAATGGCTGAAAAAGTAAGTTGTGAGACTTTATTTACTACTTGATATGCAATACTTTCTGGGTCACAAAACAAACATACAGAGTTATGCAGTTTCTTTCTGTTAAACTTATACACTGCAGTATGTAGTCATACATTAACAAAAATATGTTAGTTTACCGTATGATACTGCGTGTCGGTCTCGTCTTGCAATAGGCAGGGATAGGTGTATTCTGTTCTCCTGGAAACCAATACCCAGTCAATCGGTGTACCAATATGTGAATGTGGACTGATAAAATCTTGATCACTTCGAAATCTTCATCAATATATCCCCAGTTCATCTAGCAGCTTTTCTTACGAATCACCATACATAACACCTCTCCCAGTCATCTTAATCGATGCAGGATCACAATATCAAACTTGAATACTTTTTTCTAGTAACCATCCCCTATAAAAATTAATGATACGATTAACACGCTCAACTATTTCACGTGTTATCCTTAAACTAGGAGTCGGTGCGAACCACTCCTGCAGAATCATCTTACATTTGACACTGCGAATCGCATACCGAAAATACTAAGATTTCTGCACAAGGTGTTGTTCACAAGACTCTGCATTTGGCCAGCGTCCTCACCTAGAAGGAATATTCGTCTTCCACACACTCGAAATCGACCACACTCTTCCCTGGTGACAAGCCAATCTGTCTCTAAGTCACCAAACTCAATCAGGCCGACTTTCATTCTCACACCTATTAGGAAATTGAATAATATTACGGGTATTACTAGTTTAGTATATGTTTCTCGTTGTGTTTGTTATTTATCTGAGTCACATTATGTAAAGATGGTTATAAAATACAGTCCTCATCGTCGTTGGTCTACTGTTTTGGAACCTACTAGATGCATCCATTGTATTCTTGGCTTTTACAGCTTGTCTAACGGAGCATTGTTGTCACCTGCTTTGATAACTCACTGAGCGTTTAACTTTTAGCGGCAAACAAAACAGCTTTTGATAAAGCTTATCCTTTACTTTGTCTGAACTATATTCGTTTAGTACATAAGCTGATGTCATGAAAAGTCACCAATGAACATAACAGTCTTCCCAATTTTTACGGGTCGGTTCTATCGGACAAGAGATGTACGAGGTCGATGGGGTCGAGTCAGCTTTCAAACATCAAAGCTTTCTGTGCTTATTGCAATGTGTGTGTGCGTGTATGGTAATAATTCTCCGAATAACCACACCAAAGAAGTTGATTTCTTGAAATACATGAAAATGAAGGAGGATTGCTATTGTTTGACCGGAGAAGCCGGAAGACAACTACTTGAGACCAGTCACAAACGGCCTGTGTTGTAATAGTCTTTGGAATTGTGTCTGCATGAAGTTCTTACCACCCAGTAGCTCGGTCTGTGAAGTTTTCAGAGCCTCTCCCCAAAGTTGAAAGGTAGTATGGCTAACTTCTTGGCAGTCAGAGGAAGATGCCTTCCTGTTGTTATATCCCTATTCGTCAGCGGTACAAATTCACCCCAGACCACTACCCTTCTAGAATGGTAGGACCTGCAGGAATATTCGCTCCAGCCAATGCAACTCGACGAGTCATTGTGATACCAAGCCAGAGTAGCTTCTATTAGTCGACAGTTTTCACAGCTACTAACTGTAACTGATGCATGGACATTCTGAGGTCAACAACCCAAAAGCTGCACAAAAGGAAACTTACGAAAAGTCTCCTCAAGTACCGTGAACAGTGGTGGGTGACAAAGGCGAAATAGATGGAAAAAGCATCGGTGATAGGCAACACTAGACAACTCTTTAGACTCATCAGGGAAACGGGTGGGAGAAGGCAAATCATAAGTGAAACAATCTCGGAGAAAAAGGGTTCCTTAATTAGCTCTCAGGATAGACGCCTTGAACGCTGGAAAGAACACTTTGAGGAACAATTTAACTTGCCTACAGCCACATTGAACCTCCCCGCCATCCAGCACACATCCGAATGGGACATAGACACTGGTCCGCCTTCTGTGAGGTCACAAAAGCTATCTGTAATTTGAAACGAGGCAAAGCGGCAGGATCCGACGGAATTATTCCGGAGGTGTTTAAATATGGGGGTGACATTACTAGTTTGATGATTAACTAAGGTACTGGGCAGCGTCTGGGAATCAGAGACGGTTCCTTAAGACTGGGGCAAGTCACTTATTATACCGATATTCAAGAAGGGAAACAAGTCCTCGTGTGATAATCATAGGGGGATCAGCCTAACGAACATAGTTTCTAAAATCCTAGGCTCAGTAATCATGCATAGACTAAACAGAACTCGGGTGCAACAAACGAGGGAAAATCAAGCAGGCTTTAGACCAGGTAGAGGGTGCATAGATCATATCTTCACTCTCCGACAGAATCTAGAACATAAACACACTTTTCGGCGTCAAACAATTGCCATATTTCTTGACTTGAAGGCGGCCTTCGACTCCGTGGATCGAAAGGTACTATGGCAATGTTTGACTGTGAAGGGAGTGCCAAGGAAGTACATTGCACTAATCAAGGCACTCTATTCAAACTCACGTAGTCTTGTAAGGGTTTATGGGGAATTGTCATTTTAATTGATAATAACCAGTGGTGTCCGACAGGGATGTCCACTTTCCCCATTTCTGTTTAACTTCATTATAGATATGCTGATGGAAGTATCCTTAAGTGAACGTAACGACTTAGGAATTGACTTGTTACCAGGGAATAGTCTTATGGATGCAGATGACATAGTCTTGTTAGGGGAGGATGCTGACAAAATGCAGAGTCTTCTGAACACCTTGAGCAGCAATCTTCGTATGTTTGGCATGCGATTCGCCCCTGTAAAATGTAAGATGCTGCTACAGGACTGGACTACCTCAACTCCTAGCTTAGTGATAGGGAGTGAAGTGATACAACATGTTGACCACTTCACCTATTTGGGAAGTTGTATCAGGACCTACGGACTGATTGGAGACGAAATCTCAGCACGGATCCAGAAAGCTCGTCCTGCTTTCGCTAATTTGCATCATCTTTGGCGTAGGCGTGACATCCGGCTATCAACCAAGGGACGTGTGTACTGCTCATCAGTTCGCTCCGTCTTTCTCTATGGCTCTGAAACATGGCCAATACGCGTTGAAGACATGAAAAGGTTAACTGTTTTTAATCATAGATGTCCAAGATCTCTTTCTCACGTTAGGTGGTATAATAAGGTAAGTAATGTTGACGTTAGGCGTAGAATGTTGGGCAAACAGGGGAAATCAATCGACGAGGCTATAAAGTTACATAGATTGAGATGGCTAGGTTACGTGCTGCGCATGCCTAACCATCGCCTCCCCCGACGGGCATTACTAGCTGATATAGGTGTAGGTTAGAAAAGAGTAAGTGGTGGCCAAACAAAAATCATCAATCCATGAAATCCTTGACAGTTAAACTGAGTCAGGTAGGGAGATGCAGACTTCCGGGTTGGGGCCCTCGGGACTCTAGGAATCAATGGCTGGAGGCAATAGGTGACATGGCTCAAAATCGTTGTCAATGGCCAGCACAGATGTATTCAGTCTTTGTAATCTTTCATATTCCTTTCTACCATTACCCATTCTGTTTCACTCGTATACTTGTCAAACTCTATTGATTCTCTTCACTCATCTTCTTGTCTACCTTTGTGTGGTATTTGGAACGTGGCAACTCGAACTGCTGCACTTTGGTGCTAAGCTCTGTGTTAAATCCAGACAGATAGACCAGAATTGAATTTCTAGAGAACAAAGCGTTATTTGTTGGTAAACTCATCAAATTCTCCTGTATTTTTTCGTGCTGGTTTGTCACTTGCAAAGTATATGAGTCTAAGCTAACACAGCTCGAACAATGAAGTGAAATTATATTGAGATAAGGATACTAGTGAATAGTCAACAGTGGATACACAGTGATAAGATATTCAAACTATTAACAAAAGTAAACAGTAGTTACAGTGTTTCTTAACGGTATCACCTGTGATCTGCAAGCACTGATTTCCAACATGTTATAGATCTCAAGCAGTTATTTAAAAGATGGATATAACTAACTTTTCAGGTAATTCTAGTCGCGTGATACTTTCCGGGATACCAATATGCAGTTAGTGTAAATGAGTAGTTCAGTATGTTTAAAGTTTGAAATATTTTTGAATTTTTTGTTGGTTAGCTGTTTATACGTCTGAACAAAGTTATAGAAACATGTGTTCCTTGTAGCTTTTTCACTACTTTCTATGAGGTTGACTCTTCACCTGTTTGGTTGCAATCTACTCAGAAGCTATTTTTTCGAGAATGCATATTATTATTATCGCTTTGTGTGATACATTTTCCCCCATTATATAACGTACCTGATCATTTGATCAGGGAATATTGTAACAATGACTTTTTTGTTCAACGATTTCTTTTCTTTCAAACCTTATTGTAGATAACCTGTAAAATTTGGCGTGCAATCGGTGGCTCTGAAGAGGAGATTGCTGGTCTGCACTCAGATTCTGACTGAAAACGGCCATACTCATATTGTCTAATGAAAACAGGTCAACAGATCGGAATTCATATTAGCGGTGTATTTTTATATACGAATTCAATGTAACTTTGAAGTAGAAACTTATTCTTCCTGCATAGTACAATAGGTTTAAGCTTCCAATATACCCGTACTTTGTATGTATTATTAATTCACATTACTGTAACTATTAAAATGAGTGTTTCTTAAACTCTTCTTCGTGTGACTGTTTCTTCATGTTGTTGTCACTTTTCTTGTGAATGTCATTCATTTACACTACGTTTTCCAAATCTTCATTCCTGTGATATGATGCAATAAATTCAATATCCAATTTCACTCTCCTGTCTCTTTCCCAAAATAATTTTCTTAAACCATTTCAAATCACATAAAATTTTGCTGTGTACCTTGATGAGAAAATGAAAATCACCGAAATGCTTTTCACCGGTCACCTGATATATGCATCGTTTCCCGTAGGCAAATACTTCGTTAACCACCAGAAACTCAGCGAAAACTACATAAACCGAGACAAAAAAACCTCACATAATCCCAAAACACTATAAAAACGATCAGCCTAAAATGTATGAAAACGATAAGAACTGCACACACCCAAAACAAACAAACTAACTCGAAAACAAGGATTCAACAATAAAAAAACAAAACGAAAAAAGAGATACCGAACACAAGGACTACGGGAAAAAATAAATGATGCATCTCACTCCTGCTGACAAAGAAACAAATCAACACATCAAAGGAAGGAAAACTAGAAAATCCATCAATTCAAAGATTTCGATACCTGCCATTCAGTTCAGGTGAACTGTCCTTGCCACCGTTTGCATCTCCTGTTCACTCTGTCGTTTCCGAACCAGTTAGTCGCTTTGAGAAATTCGAGTGAAGCATTCAGGAGACAGATATTCCGAGATGACAGATATCACTTGGTAGTTTCCACATGATCCCATTACAACCAGGATGGTTGACAACAATACAGTGTCTCACAATCAACTGATTCTGAACTGAACTGAACTCAACTCAACTGAACTGAGTTGAGTTGATTTGAGTTGTGATATGCAGGGTTGAGCTGAGCTGAGCTTAGATGAACTGATCTCAAATTAAGTAATTGGAGTTGATTTGAGTTGTGATATGCAGGGTTGAGCTGAGCGGAGCGGAGCTTACATTTGCATTCCCGAACTGCGCTGAGATGAATTGACCTGAAGTGAGTTGACTTGAAGTGAACTGATTCGGTCGGAACTGACAAGATGGAAGTGTTCAGAAAGGTGCAGCAGTTCAAGTCGACACACTTGATAGAAGCACACAAAGCTAGGGCGAATCGTTCAAAGGCACTGTGATAGGGGAAATGCACGGGAGTCAGGGAATAATTGCACACAGAACAATCAGGACTGAATGGATCCGAGAGATGACGAAGAGTGAAGGGATCTGCACCATACTATATTATACAACGTAGGACGAGAGGTAGAAGGCAGACATCTCTGGTCAGAGACGGCTAGCCTCTTCATGTCTTCCACTCTCAATGGCCACGTCTCACAGCCGTGAAGAAGGGTGGAGTGAAGTGCTGCACAGTATGCACTTCGTTCGATGGATAGCCAGATATCACGCTTGAGCCAAAGATGATGTGATTTGGCAAATCCCAAACGAGCCTGTTATCTCCGTGCTGAGATTTCGTCATCAATCTGTCGATCAGGGCTGATGCAGCTTGACAAGTAAGTGAGGTGGTCAACACGCTCAACTATTTCACGTGTTATCCTTAAACTAGGAGTCGGTGCGAACCACTCCTGCAGAATCATCTTACATTTGACACTGCGAATCGCATACCGAAAATACTAAGATTTCTGCACAAGGTGTTGTTCACAAGACTCTGCATTTGGCCAGCGTCCTCACCTAGAAGGAATATTCGTCTTCCACACACTCGAAATCGACCACACTCTTCCCTGGTGACAAGCCAATCTGTCTCTAAGTCACCAAACTCAATCAGGCCGACTTTCATTCTCACACCTATGAGCAGATTGAATGAAGACTGTGACATTGGTCATCAATGATGGATTCCACTGACAGTTGTATCTACGCCCAACCACCTGATCTCCAATCGTAGACCTATGCAAACAGTGTAGGGATTCTTCTTATCTACAGACTGACTACTATTCACGTCAGATTCTCAAGCCTGAGAATGATGATTGTGAGAGGTGTCGATGATAATCCGTGTCGACTTGTCTTGTTAATCAATCGACCTGGGGTCTTGTTCACAGAGTCCTCTTGATTACCCATATCTTGAGAGGTTTCGACATCTGTTATCTCAGTTCAGGTGAACTGTCCTTGCCACCGTTTGCATCTCCTGTTCACTCTGTCGTTTCCGAACCAGTTAGTCGCTTTGAGAAATTCGAGTGAAGCATTCAGGAGACAGATATTCCGAGATGACAGATATCACTTGGTAGTTTCCACATGATCCCATTACAACCAGGATGGTTGACAACAATACAGTGTCTCACAATCAACTGATTCTGAACTGAACTGAACTCAACTCAACTGAACTGAGTTGAGTTGATTTGAGTTGTGATATGCAGGGTTGAGCTGAGCGGAGCGGAGCTTACATTTGCATTCCCGAACTGCGCTGAGATGAATTGACCTGAAGTGAGTTGACTTGAAGTGAACTGATTCGGTCGGAACTGACAAGATGGAAGTGTTCAGAAAGGTGCAGCAGTTCAAGTCGACACACTTGATAGAAGCACACAAAGCTAGGGCGAATCGTTCAAAGGCACTGTGATAGGGGAAATGCACGGGAGTCAGGGAATAATTGCACACAGAACAATCAGGACTGAATGGATCCGAGAGATGACGAAGAGTGAAGGGATCTGCACCATACTATATTATACAACGTAGGACGAGAGGTAGAAGGCAGACATCTCTGGTCAGAGACGGCTAGCCTCTTCATGTCTTCCACTCTCAATGGCCACGTCTCACAGCCGTGAAGAAGGGTGGAGTGAAGTGCTGCACAGTATGCACTTCGTTCGATGGATAGCCAGATATCACGCTTGAGCCAAAGATGATGTGATTTGGCAAATCCCAAACGAGCCTGTTATCTCCGTGCTGAGATTTCGTCATCAATCTGTCGATCAGGGCTGATGCAGCTTGACAAGTAAGTGAGGTGGTCAACACGCTCAACTATTTCACGTGTTATCCTTAAACTAGGAGTCGGTGCGAACCACTCCTGCAGAATCATCTTACATTTGACACTGCGAATCGCATACCGAAAATACTAAGATTTCTGCACAAGGTGTTGTTCACAAGACTCTGCATTTGGCCAGCGTCCTCACCTAGAAGGAATATTCGTCTTCCACACACTCGAAATCGACCACACTCTTCCCTGGTGACAAGCCAATCTGTCTCTAAGTCACCAAACTCAATCAGGCCGACTTTCATTCTCACACCTATGAGCAGATTGAATGAAGACTGTGACATTGGTCATCAATGATGGATTCCACTGACAGTTGTATCTACGCCCAACCACCTGATCTCCAATCGTAGACCTATGCAAACAGTGTAGGGATTCTTCTTATCTACAGACTGACTACTATTCACGTCAGATTCTCAAGCCTGAGAATGATGATTGTGAGAGGTGTCGATGATAATCCGTGTCGACTTGTCTTGTTAATCAATCGACCTGGGGTCTTGTTCACACAGTCCTCTTGATTACCCATATCTTGAGAGGTTTCGACATCTGTTATCTCAGTTCAGGTGAACTGTCCTTGCCACCGTTTGCATCTCCTGTTCACTCTGTCGTTTCCGAACCAGTTAGTCGCTTTGAGAAATTCGAGTGAAGCATTCAGGAGACAGATATTCCGAGATGACAGATATCACTTGGTAGTTTCCACATGATCCCATTACAACCAGGATGGTTGACAACAATACAGTGTCTCACAATCAACTGATTCTGAACTGAACTGAACTCAACTCAACTGAACTGAGTTGAGTTGATTTGAGTTGTGATATGCAGGGTTGAGCTGAGCGGAGCGGAGCTTACATTTGCATTCCCGAACTGCGCTGAGATGAATTGACCTGAAGTGAGTTGACTTGAAGTGAACTGATTCGGTCGGAACTGACAAGATGGAAGTGTTCAGAAAGGTGCAGCAGTTCAAGTCGACACACTTGATAGAAGCACACAAAGCTAGGGCGAATCGTTCAAAGGCACTGTGATAGGGGAAATGCACGGGAGTCAGGGAATAATTGCACACAGAACAATCAGGACTGAATGGATCCGAGAGATGACGAAGAGTGAAGGGATCTGCACCATACTATATTATACAACGTAGGACGAGAGGTAGAAGGCAGACATCTCTGGTCAGAGACGGCTAGCCTCTTCATGTCTTCCACTCTCAATGGCCACGTCTCACAGCCGTGAAGAAGGGTGGAGTGAAGTGCTGCACAGTATGCACTTCGTTCGATGGATAGCCAGATATCACGCTTGAGCCAAAGATGATGTGATTTGGCAAATCCCAAACGAGCCTGTTATCTCCGTGCTGAGATTTCGTCATCAATCTGTCGATCAGGGCTGATGCAGCTTGACAAGTAAGTGAGGTGGTCAACACGCTCAACTATTTCACGTGTTATCCTTAAACTAGGAGTCGGTGCGAACCACTCCTGCAGAATCATCTTACATTTGACACTGCGAATCGCATACCGAAAATACTAAGATTTCTGCACAAGGTGTTGTTCACAAGACTCTGCATTTGGCCAGCGTCCTCACCTAGAAGGAATATTCGTCTTCCACACACTCGAAATCGACCACACTCTTCCCTGGTGACAAGCCAATCTGTCTCTAAGTCACCAAACTCAATCAGGCCGACTTTCATTCTCACACCTATGAGCAGATTGAATGAAGACTGTGACATTGGTCATCAATGATGGATTCCACTGACAGTTGTATCTACGCCCAACCACCTGATCTCCAATCGTAGACCTATGCAAACAGTGTAGGGATTCTTCTTATCTACAGACTGACTACTATTCACGTCAGATTCTCAAGCCTGAGAATGATGATTGTGAGAGGTGTCGATGATAATCCGTGTCGACTTGTCTTGTTAATCAATCGACCTGGGGTCTTGTTCACACAGTCCTCTTGATTACCCATATCTTGAGAGGTTTCGACATCTGTTATCTCAGTTCAGGTGAACTGTCCTTGCCACCGTTTGCATCTCCTGTTCACTCTGTCGTTTCCGAACCAGTTAGTCGCTTTGAGAAATTCGAGTGAAGCATTCAGGAGACAGATATTCCGAGATGACAGATATCACTTGGTAGTTTCCACATGATCCCATTACAACCAGGATGGTTGACAACAATACAGTGTCTCACA